AGCAGCTGAACCCAAGACAGAATCTAAAAAAATAAAACTTCACCGAAACTTCGCTCAGCAGGAAACCGGTCATAAGTCTTCCCCATCAATTCTGATCCGGACCCCGTGGAACGAGGCCTTCTTCCACAACAAACATCTTGAACATGGCTCAATGTGGCATATCATGCAGCTCATAGGTCGATGCTTGCATGGGAAGATGTTGCCCCTGTTTTGAGAGGACTCTCGGGTAATGGTATTGCATCGGTGACGCAAGCCAATCATCCAAATGGTCTGTATGGCGGCCAATCGCCAAAATATTCACAACCAAACATAAAGATGGACTCCCGTACGGTCCTGCTGGAATAGCTAACATGAGGGTGGACTCCCCAGGTAAGGTCTAACCTCCTTCCTGAAGCTTTCCTAGATCTGGGCGTGTCATGCAGAACTGCTTTATCGTGGGAATTACTTCGTTCCCTGCCCCAAACCCTGCACAAAACAGATTAAAAATCCGACTTCTTCAAATAGATCTAGCATATTGCGCGAATCATGGGACCGACTGCGCTTCTCCCTCGTGCACAGGTTACTCCAGGTTTTCAGAAATCATGCTTGCCTGCGTCAAGGACAAGACTGTACTCTTACAGCCTCACCACTGCATGCCATCAGCATTGCTCCCAATCAAGCCGCATCAAGCCATTTCCTGGTCTCTTCCAGTGCTGCTAGCTAGTATGCACTAGAGATCTCAGGCCCAGGTCTCGACTGACAATTTTGGACTCTTGCTATCAATACAATATGCAATGCTAGCGCTCAAGTAGGCTGCAAAACCAACCTGATTTGAAATTATCATCTTTCATTAAATTATCCTAAACCCAAAAACCCTGACCCCTGATCCGTGCCGGCCTGCTGAGCCAAACAACCACGTGCTCGCGCAGTTGCCTCAAACAAAGAGGATGGCAACAGCAGAATTCCTGCATTCTGCAACATTTTGGGGTTTTTGGTTCAGGGTTTAAGGTACCCATACAACTCCAGTGTCAATTTCAGTTTCCATCGTCTTTTCAATTTTCCATTCTGCGGAGAATGTACATGGAATCCCTACTAAGGGGCCTCATCATCCCCTCATAATCCCTCTATATCCTTTGGGAACCTTGGGGCCCCGTCTTTCAAAATACTCCCTCAATCCCTAAACCTGAACCCCTGGCTCTACAGGGCCTGAATAGCGGGCATCTTGAAGGGTTATGGGCTTCTATAGGGTTATAGGAGATCCATAGGGGTTATTCAGAGTCTAGAGATAAGTCTCAAATAGTGGAGAATCAAACGGAAACGGAAGTGGAAACCCTAGGGTCCTTTCAAGGAGTTATAGGGCCCTAAGGGTCCAAGTACCTAAGAACCATGTACTTACCCAAAACCTGTACTGTAATTACTATTACCCGAATCCCAAGTACCTAATTATTGGGCACATGGACCCTTAGGGGGGAGGTATAGGGTCTGGGTCTGAGGGCAAGAATGAAGAATCAAGTGGAAAAGAACTTGGAAACCCCTAAACCCTAAACCCAATTTACCTAGGAGTTTCTACAATCCGCGACTTCAAAACAAAGCGAGTGCTCCAGCAGCTGCTGCTTCATCAAAGACCCAAACAAAGAGCCCTGTTGGAGCTGACGTTGTACACGCTGCAAAATGGGTAGGCCTCCAGAGGAACAATCCCTAAGGGTCCAAGTACCCAATAATCATATACTTACCCAAAACCTGTATTATAATTACTATTACCAAAACCCTAAGTACCCAATTATTGGGTACATGGACCCTTAGGGAATGCTTTTTCTGTTTGGGACAAAGCCTTGTGAGGAGCATCCAACAAGCACGGTTGCGAGAAGGGCAGCTCTCTCACTGCAAGATCCCATGCCTGGCATGACGGAGACTGCTTAGAATAACCTGAACCCCCAAAAGTATGTAGAATAACGGCCTTTATGGTTGTTATTATGGGTCTAGGGCTATTATTTTACATACTTTTGGGGTTTAGGAAGTGGCGTGTGTAAGACCCCTCGAACGAGAACAGCAGCATTCTGAGCAGCCTCCTCAAAACTTACGTCATCTAGAAAGAAACAGAATGGCTCGCTGCGTTAGCGAGAGAATGTCCTGTACACACAATGGACCTACCACGTCCGGGTAGCTTTGGCAGCTCTTTTCGCGGCAGCGGCTTGGAAATGCACGAATGTACGGCTGACTTCAAGGACCTCGTGCCCTGGAGCCCGACGATGATCATCAGTCAACCTCTCCCAGAAGACCTGACTTAGGGGGGTCCCTAGATTTGGGGTCCCTTTTTGCGGGTATCTATACTAAGGTGTACAGTATAGTATAGCGTCTAGCATCAGGTCCTTAGGGACATAAGCCACTATGTTGATTTGAGGTCATGTGAGGTGGCTACACGGTTTAGGATTTACGGCCCGGTTCGCAAGTAGCATGCCTGGGGTGCAGGATACTTAAATAAGGCAGGACAAAACCCTGAACCCTAAACCCAGTGGTCAGCTGGGAACTACAAGCATCCTGTGTACTCAAATCCCCTCCCTAGGCGGGCAGTTGAAGTCTAGACCTCACCTGGACACCAAAAGACGGTAACATAATAGCCCAAAAAACTCCCAAAATAGCCCAACTGGCAATTATTCTACCATAGTTTTGGGGCTCAGGTACACCCTAAACCCAAAGCTCCCTAAGATTTGTCAAATTGAGGTCCTTTGCAGGAGTGGTCGAAAATCCACTGACGTGAGTGCTTGCTTGGGAAAAGTATTTCCCTGGGGTTTAGGGGTTTAGGGTTTAGGGGTTTAGGGGTTTAGGGTTTAGGGTTTAGGGGTTCAGGGTTTAGGGTTTAGGGTTTAGGGCGGCCGTAGGCACTTGCACGGATAAAGTTGTGTGCTGTGGACTAGGAGGACCCCCCACCCTGCAATAGTGGCATTATAGGAATACGAGAGAACCCGAATATAATCTTTATTATCCCTTATAGTCACTATTGCTGGGTGGGGTCCACCTACACTATCCCTAAACCCTAAACCCCTAAACCCCTAAACCCTAAACCCCTAAACCCCTAAACCCTAAACCCTAAACCTCATTAAATTTAAGGGCAAGTCACTGGCAACTCCTGAGCTGTCCGTACGCGAACTTGTTGGCTGCTTGGGACGGAACACAGCACCTTCACGACCATCTCCTCAACATCCTGGGGGTCGAGTACCCTAAACCCTGAAGTCTAAGCCCTAAGCCTCTTGTCGTTTTGCAGACTCCAGATTTCAACAACACGAACTCTAGGGCTCCAGTTACCAAAATAATGGGAACTGGGTTCTATATACCCTATAGGTACATAGCCCAGTAACCCAGTAACCTACTATTTAGACAACTGGGAGCCCTAGGGTAATTCATGGCCCAAAGTGGGGCTACGCTATGCAAAGGCAAACCTGCTTTTCTTCAAGAAGACGTGCATGGAACCAATGGGGTTTAGGGTTTAGGGGTTGAGGGTTTAGGGCTCCACCCACCGAGACAATTTGCAAGCCGGTCCTCCGAGACAATCACATGTGAGCTCTTCATGACCAGTCCGCGTGCTTCTTCCTGACGGATTGCTTCAAGAACTGCCTCGTACTGCTCGGGACGCACGAAGACTTTGGCACCAGAGTCCAAGACGCACGGATACTGCCTCTCTTGCAGAGATGCCCGCAAAGGCGCCAAATCAGGACCCTCCAACAAGGCATGTTTGAAGGACTCAGGACTGCGAGAGAAACCAAGAATCAACACGCGCGGCATGTGCGTACGCTGAGCGCCAATCATCTCTTGGCTTAACCTTGCATTGGCCTCAGACGCCTGAAGCATGTCATCAGAAGCAGCAGTGGCATGCTGCGCCTCCAGGCTGTCGCCAGGCAAGTCCAGGCCTTCATCAATCCCTTCTCCTCGCTCCAATGACTCAATGAGCCTGTCAAGATCACGGAGTCGCCTATCAGAGTTGAGGCCGGAGCTCTCTGAGAAAGCCCCTTCCACGTTCTCGCCCATGCGCATCCGGTCCATGGATCGCAGGTCATGGCTGAGATGCGGAGACATTCCGCGCAAGCCTTCTTCGCATCTTCGGACACAGAACCTGTAGGCATAGTAGATCTGCGCCCAGGACAAAATGTCTGCCTGTCCTGCAACACGCACATGACGCTTGTAACTCGCAGTGAACAAGAACTTTGAGGCTTCCATGAAGGCAGCTTGGAAGAATGCCGCGTCTGCCCTTTCAAGCTTTGCAAGTGCCCAAGCCGAATTTGCAACGTCTTGATTGATGAACTCATCCATCCGCTGAATGCAGAGCCTTGCAAGTGTCGTGAGGGCACGAAGGTTGTGAAAACCGCTCCTGGCAAAAGCCCATGTTAAACCGGACAATGTTTGGGGCTCAAGCTGTTGGCCACGAGTCTCCAAGTACTCTGAGCAAGCCTCAAAGAAGCCTTCATGCTTGAGGCGCATCTTTCCATAGGCCCAGACGGACATGCTCACAAAGCGTTGATCCAGGTTAGACAACTTCGCCGCAAGGATGTTGCCAAAGACTACGAAGCCCCTGATCCATCGCGGCTTTCCTGCATCAATCTTGGCAAGGCCCCACAGAACCAATGCTATTCGATCAGCTTCCCAATCAATTTTGGCCATGTCTTGCTGCTCAAACCTCGCGGCCATGGATTCCAAAATATGGTTCTCACGCAGTAAAACCATTGACTTCAGGAGGCTTGTCCAGACAACAGGGGACATCTCATCCATTGGCCCATTAATGAGCTCGCTGCATGCATGGACCAGCTGCATGTATGCAGGCTGGGAACGCATTTCGGCTTGCATCTGCACGGGCCGAGACTCGAAGGATTCCGTTTTTGAAGTCTTGACCCCAAGCAAGTGGAAAGCTTGCACCTTCTCCCTCGCAGAAAAGTCTGCAAGACGGCTATGGACAAGCTCCAAGACGTCGCCAAAGCTGCGGGCCCCTTGCAACATGGAGCTGATGGTGTTGCCTTCGACTTGACTTGCTACTTCGCCATAGCTGTTGCGGAGAGATGGATCTGCACCAAGCTGCATCAGCTGCAGCTTCAATGACTCTTGATTGTACCAAGACGCAAGGTGGAGAGGAGTGCAGCCATCTTCTCGTTGAGCATTGACATCAAAGCCATAGGTGCTGACCAGAGATTGCAGGACCTTGCCTTTGCCTCGTTTCACGAGCTCATGAACTATCATGGGCTTGTGCTTCGTAAGTGCATCTGCATGTGATCGCAGGGGACCAGCACCAAATTGAGCTACAAGGTTTTGAAAAGTGCTCAACATCCTGTCCTCATCACTCTCGCGCAGCCAGTCGCGAATGGATCGTGCGAAAGCCATACTTCACTACCCTCACCTATGCACACGCACACTTTTTGCTGCAAGCCAGAAAATGATCTTCAAACGCACGTAACTGCCAGAATGGCTAACTGTAGTGGTGTCCTGCCCCGCAAGCTGCAGACAACATAGTCTCCACAACCCAGACCTCCTAAAGGATCCAAAAAATGGAACCCCCTAATCATCCCCTAGATTCCCCAATGTAGTTATGGGTTCATATTGGGGGGGGGGGGTCCATTTTTTGGATCCTTTAGGCGGTCTGGGAAGCTTCAGGCAGGGATAAACTTTGAGTTCGGACGTCCAACACATCCGACTTCAATCTGCCTACCAATCGGCAAGCACCGATTCATGTTGGTAGGTCAGTCAGGTCTGCTTCAGAGTCGTAGCACGAAACCCGAAGCCCTGCGCAAACCCAAATGAGAGAGCTGGTTGAGTCGAGGTGCCACTTTCTTCCAAACTCCTGCATGAAGAGCTGCAAGGTTACAGACGGTAATTCGTACTTGGGCATTTCATAGGAGCTGTAATCTAAACTCCTTAAGGGGGGTTATATGGGAGATTATATGGGGTTATTAAGGGGGATGCTACCGGTTTAGACTATAGCTCATATGAATTGCACATCCTGAAATTAAGCCCACATGGTTGTGGTTCCCGTAAAGACCATGATTTGAGGTGAGGTCGCGTAAGGTCATTAAGCTTACCTTGAGTGAGCTGGGAATGAAGGAATGAATCCTTACATATAGTAGTCCATATATAACCCTCTTATAGCAATTTCCATGTTCTTTTCCATTCCTTCATTCCCAAACTAAACCCTAAACCCTAAACCCTATCAAATCCCATTATAGTAGTTTCCATGTTCTTTTCCATATCTTCATTCCCAGCTAACCAAAAGGTAAGTGAGTCATAGGCTCAGAGGTTGGCGGCATGAGCCTAGGCTTCACAGAGTTCACGGGGTTTAGCCCAGTTTAGAACTGTTTTGTTTTTTTTTGTTTGGGGCTTAGGGTTTCTTCAGTTTAGTAGTAATTACCTAGTAATTAATAGAAATAACCCATAGAACTGTAGGTAATAGGGGTTACAGTGTAGGGTTTAGGGCATCGCAAGCTCCCAACCAAATTTGGGGTTCAAGTGGCTCCTTATCCTGATGACCAGTACTCAAACCCAAACATTGGGAGGAGGGGGGCGAAGCAACACGCGTTCCCAGCAATTTCCGATACCCTTGCAGTAGCATGAACTGGGGATACCACCATGCCGTTTGTAGTTCTACTTAGCCGAGAATCCTCGAAGCTTTGCTCAACCCTAAACCTGAAACATATCCACGTCCAAGGTATTCCCTACCCGCTTAGGCCCCAGTATGGGGCTGTCCAGACATCGGGGCGGGGGGCGGGTCCTTTTGGGACTTGCTTTAAGAAGGTAATATATAGGGTAAAGGTATCACTTAGGCCTAGGCCATCCTTTTTATGCAAACATCATATGGGGGTGTCCCAAAATTAGGGGTACCTTTTTGGGGGTCCCAATAATAAGGACTATAATATATTGGGGTCTATACTGGGGTCCCCCTATTTTGGGAAACTACCATATGAGGCACTGTCCCACCTCCGAATATGAGCATGTCATGGAATACGCTTGTGATCGCATCAGGAAATCTTGACCATCAACGGACCGGTGATGGAACTAAACCCTAAACCCTAAACCCATAAATATGAGAGCAAGGTACACTCATTCAGTGGGGCTTGTGGCTCATAATCGTCCGTTTAGGACTTAGGGTTCAACTTGAAAACTCCAAATCCCCCGAAACCCTAAACCCTAAACCGTGCCAGGTCCACATGTACCTCAGATCTCCACCTGGGCTGGGACCCACAGCGTCAGATATCAACTTCAACCCTGCACCTCCATGTGGGGATATATAAGGGGTGATATAGGGTTTAGGGTTTTAGGGTTTAGGGTTTAGGGTCTACTTGGAGGTCCATTGTAATTATAACCTACTTAGTAACTGTAGTTATACCCCAAATATATCTAGGGTAACTATAGTTATGGGACTTATATTTAGGTTATAACTACAGTTACTAAGTAGGTTGTAAATACAATGGACCTCCAAGTAGAGTCTAGGGTCTAGGGTCTAGGGAGGTTGGTTTCCCAAAATTAGGGGCACCTTTTTGGGGGTCCCCTATAGTACGGACTATAGCATACGGTATTGGGGTTTATGTTGGGGCCCCCCTATTTAGGGACACTATCATGTGCTTCCGCCTGCAAAGCAAAACTCCTTCTCTTATCAACCATTTTAGGATGGGGCGTGCCTAAATGGTAGTTACGGGTACCCTTTTAAAGGGTTCTGTAGGGGTAATATAGGGGTGTATAGGGCTATATAGGGTTTATAGGGTTTAGGGATTAGGGTTTAGGGTTTCCCAAAATTAGGGGTACCATTTTGGGGGGCCCTTATAATAAGGACTATAGTATATTGGGGTCCCCCTATTTAGGGAAACTACCAAATGGGCTTCTCAGTCCTATGTACCTGTGGGTCTTCTAGAATCCTCTTTTTATACACATATGCCAGGAGGGTCCCACCCTCTTGGCATATGGGTATAAGAAGAGGATTCCAGAAGACCGCAGGGGCTCAAGACAGCCCATTTAGATGAGGTACATAGGATTGAAAAGCTGGGGGGGGGCGGGAATGTCTCCCCAACCATTCTAGATTCTCCAAAAGGGCCCTCCAAGGGAACCTTAAGGTTTAGGGTTTAGGATTTAGGGTTTAGGGTTCAAACGCAAGAGGATTACACAGCCCAAGAATGCTCAGAGAATCCGCTCCATTTGGGCGCTTTTAGGGGTGGACCAATAGTGCAACACCTGTCCTTTAGGTCGTCCGACGGCACTTCGTTCGATATGTGCACCACAGTCCTCAGTTTAGCTCAAGGTGTATAATCTGTGTTGCTGTTAAGGAACTTAAAGAAACTGTGAAAAGGACACCCGAATATTTACTATATACCCATATCATGGTGACTTACCTTAAGCTCCTTAACAGCAACCCAGTAATGCTTAGGCTTTGGGGCTGAGGGTTGGGAACTTACCATCAGCACATACTGATCTTGTTACCTCTTTGGTGGGCAGCTCTACTGCGATTAGTGGGAGCAGCAACTGCTGTTGCTGCCTTCATGCTTCCATGATCATTTCAGCATGGTTAATCCTTGGATGTGGAGTGCAACTTCCTGACAGCACTCCATATGAGTGCCGGGAACAAATTAAATGCAAATAGTCTCTGTGGGCACGCCCGAGACGTTTGCTTCGGTTTGGAGATGCGGCTGATGCCAAAGAATCTGCAAGACCCCAAGTACCAAATGCTTTTGAAGTATGGTGTTCTCGTATCATACTAGAGGTACGAAGACATTTTAGTATCAACAATAGTGTTGAGCATGGGGCGCTTTCTTCAGATAATTGCCTCTCCAGGCCTCGAAGCAAAACCTGGAGCCACAAACTTCCCACATGTCAAAATACTGCCGAAGACTACAACACTGCAATGCCAGAAAGCTATCCCACCAAATAGGTTCAACAAAACCACAATAGCAAATCACGAAGCGCAACGGCAGCAGCGAGGATAAAGGTTAGTGTGAAAGCTCTGTTGTAATAGTATGATTTTGCATCACTATCGACTGTCATTCGTACTCTAGACCCTCATCCCCCGAACCACAACTTCTAAACCCGGCACCCCAAACTGCAGAACACGTCGCCTGGCTGTAAAGCGTCGGGCGTTTCCGCGCGACTCCTTCAAAGGCTCAAGGGACTCAGAGCCGCCAACCGAGGTGGGAAACTGCCACTGACGGGTTATATAGGAAATATTGGGGTTAAATTGGGATACGTAATAGTATTTGGGGTTTTGGATTTAGGGTTTAGGGTTTAGGGTTTAAGGTCCGCCGACCTTGGGGGGCGTGTTGGATGGTTGCCGAAGGCGGAGAGGGTGAAAACCCTCTTTCTCCCTTACAGCCCCAAAACGCGGGGGGAGGGTGGGGGTAGGGGGGGTATCCCGGCTTCGTTTCCCAGGCCCCTGGTGGGCCGGGCC